GCCGGCGGAGGCCACGGCTGGGTCAGGTGGAGTGAACGGTGGCGAAGAGCAGGGCAGCGGCAAGGGGGAGGAAGACGAGCCCGAGGAGCGGAGCGGGGACGAGACGCCGGGATCCGAGGCCCCGGGTGACAAGGCCGCGGAGGAACAGGGTGAGGAGCTGGCAGCGGAGCCGGGCTCCAACCTGCCCGCCGGCTGCGCCCCGATCTAGCACCCCGCCCTGCTCCGCGGGGTCCGAGTCCTTGTTCTCGCTTGCCTGAAATGGCAAGATTCTCATCGCCATTTGGTGGGATTCCCCAGGGAAGCAGATTTCATTCTCTACCTACCATTTTTTTTGGGGGGGGGGCTTGCCGTCTCTGGTGTCCTCGCTCTTTGCAGGAGGCAGGTTCTTGCCTAACTTGGTTCTTTGGTGATAGTGGATGGGAGTGAGTGATTTTACATGCGAACTGCCTGCGGGCTACCTGTGGATCAGTCTCCCGCGGTGCTTATCTTTTTCTTAGTCGAGAAATGTGCTGCGGCATTGGCGAGTTCACGGGCGCCAGACGGGCAGTTGGGGGTTTAGGTCTTTGGGCTACCCGACTGTTGACTTTTTCGCCTTAAAAATGTTAAGCAATAAACAAAGTCCGCTCCGTTAAAAGCACATTATCAGAGCTAGAGCCACGCAGAGAATCTGGAAATCTAACCTTGCTCTTGCTTGAGCAGTTGGGAACAGCCTCTAGTGTTAGGGTATTGGGTTTAATAGTTAACGAGTGAAGAGAAAATCTTAATCTAGTGCATTTACAGTAAACTAACTGTTTTTTTTTTGTCTAGGGTTTTCATTTTGTTTGTACTCTTACGACTAAATTTTAATAGTTTCACTGAGTCCGTGAATGAGCATATTTGTAGGTTTGCTGTACACTTGCACTGGCCTTTTACATTTCAGGTTCCTAGCTTCCTGAATTGAAATGTTTAAGGTGCTGGTTGCTCCCTTGAGTAAGCTTGTGGAAGAGATTGTGTGGAGTTGCCCCAGGGAGTTAGTGACCTTTCTCCTTTCTTTTGAAGTGATTGGATGGTTAGAGCTGATCCATAACAATATCTGTCAGTGGCTAGAGGAAAGCTAGAGCTTTTTCCAAGTTCTGTTATAAAGTGGGTTACTTTCTTTTTGTGATAATTTTTTTAGGCTGCTACAGAGTATCATGGTATGATTGGAACCCTTTGTACAACAATCACATGCAACTTGCAGTTTGTTTGTCCTATGTCCTGGAACAGAAATCCCATTACATAACCTTTGACTTATGTGTATTCCAAATAGCAGATAAAAATGTTGATGAACAAAGGAATGTTTTAAAGAAATTATGATTAAAAAACTTATTAGTGTCGCAGAATATACAAACCTGAGGAAAAACTCAAGATTTTTTTTTCTCTTGAAAAGAATGTTGCTAAATATAGGACAACACCTTTCTACCCCAAATTCTTTGCAGTAAAGATGCAGTATTATTTATGGGTCTCTTGTGACAATGGTTTGCTCTTACAACTTTCAGTAAAAATCCCTGATAAAAATACAGTTGTGTATCATGCACTTGAGTCCATTTGCCACATAAGTAAAGCCATAGCTGTCTGTGCATTTCAGTACAGGAAAGGGAAACTCTTTTTTAAAAAATTGAGGCAAGCCGGCCTCGGTGGCTCAGCCTGTAATCCCGCGCTTTGGGAGGCTGAAGTGAGTGGATTGCCTGAGCCTGTGGGTTCGAGATCCACCTGGGCAACTTGGTGAGACCTCATCTCTACAATAAATTTTTAAAAATTAGCCTGGTATGGTAGTGCGCGTCTGTCTGTAGTGTGATAGTGCACTACTTGGAAGGCTGAGGCGGAAGGATCGCCGGAGCCCAGCAGGTCGAGGCTGCGGTGACCACTCCTGGCCACTGCACTCCAGTCTGGATGACAGAATGAGACTCCAACTCAAAAAAAAAAAAAAAAATTGAGGCTTCTGTGTTTTGAACCTGGGGAAAGGTGTTACAAAGTATATATTAAATGCCTACCTTAAATCCAAATCTGACAAGAATTGAAATTAAATTAACCTTCGAAGGTTTTCTAAAGACCTAGGAGATATTTTTATGTTATATTGATGGGGAGATCTGCAAGTTTGACCTGATTTAAGCAGATAAATTTAGAATATAAAAATTGACCAATTTTTAACTACTGCTTGACTGTAATTAGCCTATAATGCCCCCCTTTTTTAAAAAAAACTAAAATTCTAGCCAATGACAGGAAGATAATCTTTCAAAATAAATGTTCTGTGGATGCAGTGTGAATAATCTGACCATTTTGGTTAGACAGATATACAGATCCTCCTTGAGTTTCAGTTGGTTCTGAGCTTATTCTACACTCCAGTATGAAAACTGCTGATTTTCTTTCCCTCCTTTTTGTAGGAGATGACCAAGATAGTGAAAAGTCAAAACCAGCAGGCTCAGATGGTGAGCGGCGGGGGGTAAAGAGACAGCGGGATGAGAAGGATGAACATGGCCGAGCTTACTATGAATTCCGAGAGGAGGCTTACCACAGCCGGTGAGGGAAACAGTCCCTTTCCCAGATGGGAGTGTCTGCTCTGATTTTGGTATACCTGATATTGATTGGAGAGTCTGGAAGAAGGGGTGGATTACAAATGGAATAGGTTTTTATAGGCTTAAGTTTTAGATTGCATTTACCCTGGAAGCTACTGTTGCCCTTTCTCATTTATTGAAAGAAGCTGTCTGCTGGGATTTGATATTCACTAATAATTTAAAATGTACATAATGTCACGCAGATACTTCTCAATGAAGAAAGCTTTGGTTATATTGTATTTCCCTTGTGTCCTATGTATAGCTCAAAGTCTCCACCACCTCCTGAAGAAGAGACCAAAGATGAGGAGGAGGATCAAACTCTTGTGAACCTGGACACGTGTATGTATAAAGTCCAGAGATTGGGGTTTTTAACTAATCTCCTAAAAGTGATTTTCATGGTCTGGAAACTCTAAGAGACTTTGTATCCATTTTTTAAATAAATAGTTTTAGAGGCAGACCTACAAATAGTTTTTGGTTACATGGTTGTATTGTGTATCCATTCTTGACAACTGAGTATACTTATGCTCCTCTGTTGGTAGCTTTCAAGTATTGGGCATGGGGGTAAACTGCTTCTTTCTTAACAGATACCTCGGATCTCCATTTTCAAGTGAGCAAAGACCGCTATGGAGGGCAGCCACTTTTTTCAGAGAAGTTTCCCACCCTGTGGTCTGGGGCAAGGAGTACTTACGGAGTGACAAAGGGAAAAGTCTGCTTTGAGGCAAAGGTAGTAACTCATTAAGACAATTCATTTATTAATTCATTAAGCTATCTATGTACTGGACTCAGTCCATCAGTATTTTATTAGTGCAGGAAGAAGCATCATGCCTTAACTATAACCTTAGCTTCAGTAACCAAGAAATCAGTCTCCATGGCTTTGGTTTAAATTTAGTGACAGTTAATCTGATGTTAAGTTGTGATTGTTGTTTTCAGTTTGTATTAAAAAACTTGTCTTTCTAACTCACACTTTGTTCTTGAGTTGGTCAGAGTGTTTAAGACTTCCTTTCTGACTTGGCCAGGTAACCCAGAATCTCCCAATGAAAGAAGGCTGTACAGAGGTCTCACTCCTTCGAGTTGGGTGGTCTGTTGATTTTTCCCGTCCACAACTTGGTAAAGTTATTTTTAACTTCCTCATTAGTCTTTGCTAACCATCTTGCTTATTCTCTGGGAAATTTGGATATAGAAAACTAATTTGTTGACTGTTCTAGGTGAGGATGAGTTCTCTTATGGTTTTGATGGACGAGGACTCAAGGCAGAGAATGGACAGTTTGAAGAATTTGGCCAGACTTTTGGAGAGAATGATGTCATTGGCTGCTTTGCTGTAAGTGCTTCTGAAAGTTTTTTTTTTGAGTTGGAGTCTCACTCTGTCGCCCAGACTGGAGTGCAGTGGCCGCTCCCGGCCACCGCAGCCTAAACCTGCTGGGCTCCGGCGATCCTTCCGCCTCAGCCTTCCAAGTAGCTGGAACTACAGGCGTGCGCTACCACGCCCAGCTAATTTTTGGATTTATTGTAGAGATGAGGTCTCGCCAAGTTGCCCAGGTGGGTCTCGAACCCACGGACTTAGGCAATTCACTTACCTCAGCCTCCCAAGGCGTGGGATTACAGGCTTGAGCCACCGAGCCCGGCTGCTTCTGAAAGTTATAGATTCAGAGCAAGGAGTGGATAGAGGGTACTGGGAATTCAGTTGTGCGTCCCATCAACTACTGGCTTTTATGTGTTTGCTGCATGGCTTGCTTAGTTGTGTTATGCAGCAGTCTTTGTAAAAAGTAGTTAAATTTTAAACTTAACCTCAAGCCTTGTCCTTCGTCATTATAGAATTTTGAGACTGAAGAAGTAGAACTTTCCTTTTCCAAGAATGGGGAAGACCTAGGTGTGGCATTCCGGATCAACAAGGAATCCCTGGCAGACCGGGCCCTTCTACCCCATGTCCTCTGCAAAAATTGTGTTGTTGAATTAAACTTTGGTCAGAAGGAGGAGCCCTTCTTCCCACCACCAGAAGAGTTTGTGTTCATCCATGCTGTGCCTGTTGAGGATCGTGTACGCACTGTAGTCCCTCCCAAGACCATTGAGGAGTGTGAGGTATGCCAAACAGTATGCAAAAATTTAGGTTTCATTAAATTAAAAAAAATTTAGGAATGATGGGTTGGTCGCCTCTACCAGGTCTCTTCTCAAGCATTACCAAACTGCAACAGGGAGGATGTTTTTAAGTTACATTCCATTATAAACATGATCCTCATTTATTTTTTATTACATTCCTGGTTCTGTTTACTTGTAGGTGATTCTGATGGTGGGACTACCTGGATCTGGAAAGACCCAGTGGGCACTGAAATATGCAAAAGAAAATACTGAGAAAAGATACAATGTCCTGGGAGCTGAAGCAGTGCTCAGTCAAATGAGGGTGAGTTGCTGGGGGTGTTAGTCAGCTCTAGTGTTTGCTCTGGAGGTACCGAGAAACATTTTATTTTTTATTTATTTATTTTTTTGAGTCAAAGTCTCTGTTGTCCAGACTGGAGTGCAGTGGTATGCTCACGGCCACCTCAGCCTTGACCTGCTGGGCTCAGGTGATCCTTCCGCCTCAGCCTTCCAAGTAGCTGGAACTACAGGCATGTGCCACCACACCCAGCTAATTTTTTTGATTTATTGTAAAGTTGTGGGCACGGGCAATCCTCTCACCTCAGTCTTCCAAAGTGCTGGAATTATGGGTGTGAGCCACTGTGCCCGGCCCAAGAAACTTTTAAAACCTGTCTTCAGTAGAGAATTAGTTTCAAGTGTCTGAGAACAAGGGTCCCACAAATAGAGAAATGAGTTTTTCTCTATATGTGTTTTAGGTGGGGTTTTTTTCTTTGCTGTGTTGTGAAATTTCTAAAAGCAGATAAAAGCTGGAATATGTCCAGATCAAGACTGGAAATGACTATTACAGGAAATGGACAACATTTGCAGCACCAAGGAATAGGAATTAATTAATGTGATAGATTTGGCATTTAAAGAGGTGAAATTTACCAGTGACTCTTGGGCTTTAACGTGTTGCTTAACTTTTTGTGTTTCTCTTTACTTCTTCTCAAACTCATCAGATGAAGGGGCTCGAGGAGCCAGAGATGGACCCCAAAAGCCGAGACCTTTTAGTTCAGCAAGCCTCCCAGTGCCTTAGTAAGCTGGTCCAGATTGCTTCCCGGACAAAGAGGAACTTCATTCTTGATCAGGTATTATTCAAACATTCAGAAGAAACCTGATTTTTTTTTTTTTTTTTTTTGAGTTGGAGTCTCACTCTGTCACCCAGACTGGAGTGCAGTGG